TGGTAGACAAAGTCTAAGGGAGAAGAAAGAAGCAACACCCAAGACAAAGTCCCAACACGAAGATAAGATACGAGACCTGATGAAAGATCACGAAGATGTTTTCAAAGAAGACACGATTGGCTGCCTGTCAAACGTAAAATCGAAGATCAAGTTGAAAGACGGTGCACAACCAGTTCAACATGCGGCAAGAAAGCTAGCCTTCTCGATCCACACCGAAGTCCAAGAGGAACTGGAGAGGATGCTGAAGCTTGGAGTGATAACGAAAGTTGACGAACCCACAGATTGGGTGAACTCGATGGTGGTTGTAAAACAACCAGAGAAGCTAAGAATATGTCTTGACCCCACGGATCTGAACAGATGGGTCATGAGAGAACACCACCATTTGCCTACCCCAGAAGAAACGTTATCAAAGATAACAAATGCAAGATGTTTCAGCAAACTAGACCTCAAAAGTGGATATTGGCAGCTCCCCCTCGAAGAGAAATCCAGCAAGCTGACCACGTTCAACACTCCATTTGGAAGGTACCGATACCTTCGTCTTCCTTTCGGACTGAACAGCGCAAATGAAATATTCCAGAAGAGAATGACAGAAAAATTCGAAGGTTTCCCAGGCGTGTTGATAATATTTGATGATATCCTCGTATTCTCTAACACCTTCGAAGAGCACACGGCCAGGCTTGGAGCTGTGTTAGAACGATGCAGCCAAGTAGGAATAAGGTTGAACAAAAAGAAGTGCAAATTCCTGTGTGACGAGGTGAAGTATATCGGACACATTATCACACCGGAAGGACTCAAACCCGACCCAGAGAAGATTGTCGCGATAACTCAGATGCCTGCACCAGCAGACAAAAAAGGAATCCAGAGATTCCTGGGCATGGTAACGTATCTGGCCCGATATATTCCAAACCTCAGTGAAAAGACACACCACTTGAGGACCATGCTCCACAAAGACAAAGTATTCTGCTGGAATTTCGAGCAACAGAAGGCATTTGACGATCTCAAGAAGGACCTTACAGATGATACAGCTCTGGCACATTATGATGTCACCAAACCCGTTGAGATACACACAGATGCATGCCAAGCTGGTTTGGGAGCCTGTCTCTTACAGCAAGGAAAACCAGTAGCATATGCTTCAAGATCACTGACTGAAACAGAGAAGCGGTATGCAAATATTGAAAAGGAGCTACTATCAGTTGTATTTGGCTTAGAGAGGTTCAACCAATACGTGTATGGGAAACACGTGCAGGTATATACAGACCACAAGCCTCTGACTCCGATATCCATGAAACCAATTCATGCAAACCCAGCCAGATGCCAGCGCCTCCTGCTCAGACTACAGAAGTATGACTACAAGCTATCCTACAAACCAGGTAAAGATCACGTCATACCAGACACCCTTAGTCGTGCCACAGTTCCAATTTCCACTCACGACACTGTTTTAGAGCGAGAATGTGATCTTAATGTACACATGATTGTAGAGACTGTAAAGAGTTCGATGCAAATGAAACATAAACTTAAAATAGAAACGGCTAGAGATCCTTGTTTAGCTAAAATCACTGAATATATCACCAATGGGTGGCCAGATGACACACGGCAATGTGATCCAAATGTTACTCCGTATTGGTCAATGAAAGACCAACTGTCAGTTTTTGACGACTTAGTTCTGTTTGATGATAGAATTGTAATTCCAAAGGTTTTGCAAAATAATATTCTGAGAAAGTTGCATGACACACACCAGGGTCGTGTTAGATGTAAAGCTTTAGCTAGAAAGGGAGTATATTGGAGAAATATTAATTCAGATATCGACAATATGGTCGACAAATGTACTGAGTGTCTAAGTACACGGAAGCTTCCGATGAAAGTTGAACTCAAATCGCATAGTGTTCCATTGAGACCATTTGAGAAAGTAGGAGCAGATATTGTTACTGTTATGGGTCGGAAATATCAAGTTGTCATAGATTACTTTACCAAATGGATAGAAGTTAGCGAGTTATCTAGAAATCCGACGTCTGACCAACTTATTTCACATTTTAAGTCTATATTTGCCCGTTTTGGTATTCCTGATATAGCTTTTTCAGACAGAGAACCAATATACGCGTCGGTGGTAATGAGGAAGCTTTGTGAGAAATATGATATCGATAAGTGTTTTAGTTCCGCACGATACAGTCAATCTAATGGGCAGATTGAACGAGCTATTGGGCACGTTAAGAACATTATTACACGATGTAAAGGTAATTTAGATAATGTTAATATGTGTTTACTAGACTATAGAGCGACTCCATTGAGCCCTCAATTGGGAAGCCCCCATAATCTATTAATGGGAAGAGATGTTAAGACAAATTTGCCATATTTACAAAGCTCATTGGTAACTGAGAGAGACTGCAAAAACCGTAAATTATTACTCGATAGACAAGCAGCAAGTGCTCAATATTATAATAGAAATGCTACTAAATCTTTTGATATGTGTAACCCGGGTGATATAGTGATTTACAAAGACGGGAAATCTGACAAGACTTGGCGCCAAGCCAAAGTTGTGTCTGTTGACCGCAAATTTCGCTCATACACCCTTCTGAACAGTGTTGGAAATGTTATCACGAGAAACAGATCCATGGTAATCCAGGATAAAACTGGTAGAGGATTCTCGGCTTCTCATGATAAGTTCTTCGATACTCTTCAGACCCCCAGCCCACTGGAAGTACCAAAAAGTTGTGACCCCCGACTGATTCCAAAACCCATACTAGCGCCAAAGGCACAAACAGAAACTCCCAAACCAAACCCCTGCAGCACCCCAGCCAAATTAAAGAAGACCATTACTGTCCCTGTTACAAAATCTAATATGCCACCCGCGATAGCTAAGGAGTACAAACTTAGGTTATATGCCGAGAGGCATAATACTCAGCCGGTAACGTTGAGACGGTCTGAGAGATTAGCGGGGAAGGCTGCCAAATAGTTTCTTTTTATAAGTGTAGAGTTAGATACGGTTAAAGAATCTAGTATACGGATGTTTTTATATTTATTACCATTAAACGAGACAATTTTAAGTAAATTCAGTTTTTAGTTTTTCCAGATTTTTAATTTATTTTAAATTATTTTGATTCCACAGCATTGTGTGTGCGAATAGATGTGAGAACAAAGAGATTTTGGAAAGGAGATGGAAGGCGCGAGCGCCTAACGCACTATTCCTGTGAAATTGTTGAAGGACGTAGGCACTTGCGCAGAGATAGCGCGCGCACGCGCATAGCGTGTGACGTGTCTTTATTTCGTTAGTTCCCAAAGAGGGAGATGTTATGTATTGTATATTTGATATATATTGTTGATATATATTGTATTTGAATAAATGGTTAATTATATATTGTTCAGGTTTTGATGGGAAACTAGTGTATGACTTGTCCAACAATAACGCAAGCACATAACATAACAGCTATACTCCGGTAAACTATACTCCGGTAAACTATACTCGTGTACACATCAATACACTACGCGTGCCACGTACAAATTGGGCGTATTACCTAATAGTAATATTATACATTACATGCATCATATTGATATATACACAGTCCCGCCGCGCCGTATCACGTGGTGACCCCCACGGTCGCTTCACTACCCCTGTAGAGTTTCGACGATACAGGGGGAGCCGCGCACTCGTGCGCGGCGGGTCATACAACGTATGACAACGCATTCATAGATCACAGCTGCTATCTATATATCACATCTACGCAAGCAATCCTCGCGCGCGCCCAACTTTTTCGTTGCATGGTAACGAACGGAAGGACACACGACATATTTAAACCCACCTATCTCGTTCTCCAAAATCCACGTTTTTCTGCAAAAACCTCCATTCGTAACCTTTCACTATTGCCTTTTTTCAAAAGGGTGAAAAGGAAAAAATTTGTTCAAGGTGGTACACATCTGGAGGAGTAATTTTAGGGCTTACAAAATAATTTGTACTGGTATTTTGTTAAGTTGAACATCCTGCACCCTTTGAAAATCCTCGATTTGCTAAAATCTCAAAAATGGCGAGCTGGAGGCCAGTTTTACAGGTTCTAATCGGATGTGTCAGAGCTATCTCAGCTAATGAGTTACGTCCAATGAAAGGGTAAGACTAGATCTGGAGGAGTAATTTTAGGGCCTACGAAATAATTTCTACCGGTATTTTGTCGAGCTGAACATCCTGCACCCTTTATGGACATCCTCGATTTGCTAAAATCTCAAAAATAGGGAGCTGGAAGCTAGTCTTACAGGTTCTGATCGGACTTATCAGAGTTACTTCAGCTATTGAGTTATGTCCAATCGAACATTGAAGGGTAACTAGACTAAATGAAGATCTGAAGGAGTAATTTTAGGGCCTACGAAATAATTTCTACCGGTATTTTGTCGAGCTGAACATCCTGCACCCTTTAGACATCCTCGATTTGCTAAAATCTCAAAAATAGGGAGCTGGAAGCTAGTCTTACAGGTTCTGATCGGACTTATCAGAGTTACTTCAGCTATTGAGTTATGTCCAATCGAACATTGAAGGGTAACTAGACTAAATGAAGATCTGAAGGAGTAATTTTAGGGCCTACGAAATAATTTCTACCGGTATGTTGTCGAGCTGAACATCCTGCACCCTTTCGACATCCTCGATTTGCTAAAATCTCAAAAATGGCGGTACACATCTGGAGGAGTAATTTTAGGGCCTACGAAATAATTTGTACTGGTATTTTGTCAAGTTGAACATCCTGCACCCTTTGAACATCTTTGATTTGCTTAAATCTCAAAAATGGCGTGCTTGAGGCTAGTTTTACAAGTTCTAATCGGACGTATCTATGAGAGCTACTTCAGCTATTGAGTTATGTCCAATTGAAAGGTAAGACTGGATCGGGAGAAGTAATTTTAGGGTATTGGACCAATGTTGGTAACATTAAATTTGGTGACATTAATATGATCTAATAATAATTATGGACCATGTTGTTACAAGTATCTCTGTCAAGTAGATTATAACGCTGACATTTTCTAACCTGATCCCGGAGAAGGGCCAGAAGAGGTTAACTGCTGTTCACTTTTTATCGTCACGGGTTCTTTTCCAACTGTACCACCTTGAACAAAATTTCTATTTAGTATCCACATAATTGTGACTTCTGATTCGCGACCTTAATTTAAATGTCAATAAATACGCATTGATTAGCATCACTACAAGATTGACAAACAACTTTAACCAAATGTAGCCAATATTGGTCTAATGTTGGTGACAGTAAGAGATCTAATTGTTGCAAGTATTTATGTTCAGTAGATTATAATGCTCACAACTTCTTACCTGATTCTGTTGAACTAGAAGGGCCAGAAGAGGTTACCTGTTGTTCTCTTCGAACCATTCCGTGTTTTCTTCCAACTGTACTACCTGGAACGACATTTGTATTTAGTAGCCATAGAATTGTGACATCTGATTCGCCTTACTTTAAATGTCAATAAATACGCCTTGATGAGTGTTGCTAAAAATGTACATCTCTTCGTTTTGTATGTATGTTTTAGTTCGATCTGTGAACCAGTGATATTAAGGCCCATTGAACCTTGCATCACTAAAGGGTTGACAAACAACTTTATAACCAAATTGTAACCAATATTGGTTTAATGTCGGTGACAGTAAGAGATCGTTCAAATATAAACTAAGCTAAATAAGGGCCACTTTAGACTCCTCCCCGTTATTGCTGGTCCTTTACTCATACTGTCACCAGCATGACGTAAACAAAAATTGTACAAATTTTTATATTGGACCAATGTTGTTGACATTAAATTTTGTGACATTAATAAGTTAATAAGACTTAATACTAATTATGAACCATGTTGTTGCAAGTATTTATGTTACGTAAATTATAACGCACACAATTTCTAACCTGATCCCGGAGAAGGGCCAGAAGAGGTTAACTGCTGTTCACCTTTTATCGTCACGGGTACTTTTCCAACTGTACCACCTTGAACAAAATTTTCTATTTAGTATCCATATAATTGGCCCCACAAGTAGGAAGTAAAATAAGGACCTCTGTTCAAATCAAAATAGATTCAAAATAGTCGGACAACTCAAAATAATAACAAAATCTGATTGGCAGTCACGCTGCACGTGACTGCCCGCACGTAACTGTGCGCGTCCAATGGACGTAATGAAGGAAATTTGTTATGGTTATCGAAGGAGAGATCACGTTTAGAGTGCATCTCTCTGATTAGCCCACGTCACTGCACACGTGACTGTGCAGAGCCAATAGGGTGCTATGTAAGTTGTGTAAGGTGTGTACGCTAGGTGCGTGTAAGGGACATCTAATTTACTATTAAACACAGCTGGCCGGCAGAGAATTGAAAATATATAAAGGATTTTTTATGGATGAAAATCGAAGCGAAAACCTTGTAACCCTATGTTTTCGAGTACGCTGAACAAGATTAAACTGGTTATAATTATCATACTCAAGGGCAAATTGCTTTAAAATGTACTTGAATGTCATAGATGCTATTATACGCTTTAACCGGCTTATCGAGTGGCACCAGTCTCTCTCGCCACTATAGTTCTCAACTTAATTACTATCGGGCTCGTGAAGGAAAGATCTCGAGCTCAGAAGACGAATACCCTTTTCCCAAATATTTGCTAACATTAACGAATATCTGGGATTAAGGAACTGTCTCACTTATAGACTTGAGATTTTAAACTGTCTCAAAAAATTGAAGAACCACAAAAGTGCTGGGATTGACGAAATCTCTAATGAGCAGTTAAAGTATGGGGCAAGTGGTCTTGTGGATAGGATGGAGAAATTGTTCTCTAAAGTTTGGAATTCAGAAGCAGTGCCTGACGACTGGTTGAAAGGCATCGTGATAATTGTACCAAAGAAGGGTGATACCTCTCATTGCTCCTATAATAGGGGGATCACTCTAAGATCTACAGCATCTAAACTGTATCAAATCATCATATTACAACGCATGAGTGAAGGTTTAGAAAGTTTGCTACGAGACAATCAGTGTGGGTTTAGAAAGAACAGATCATGCATTGATCAGATTTATTCACTCCGCACTATTATACATAACTGCATTGAATATAATCTCCCCCTGTATGTAAATTTTGTGGACTTCAAGGCAGCTTTTGATTCTATCGACAGGAATTATATTTGGAAAGCTTTCAGTCATTATGGCCTGCCATGTAAATACATTCGAATAATACAGGCATTCTTGAATGGAACTGTCAGTGCTGTTAGACACAATGGTGAACTATGAGAATGGTTTGAAGTAAGTTCAGGCAGTGGCCAAGGAGACATTCAGGGTCCCCCACTTTTTAATGTCTGCCTCAATGTGGCTGCTGAGAGAACAGAAAGCAACAAAGTGGTGTCCCACGGAGCGGTTCTTCAAAGATCTATCAGTCCGCTTGTTGATGATATCACTGTGTTAGATGTGCCTTCTGATTCGCCTTAATTTAAATGTCAATAACCATTAACCATGGTGATATTAAGGCCCATTGTAACCAAATTGCAGCCACTATTTGTCGAAAGTTGGTCACAGTAACAGATCGTTTAAATATAAACTAAGCTAAATTAAGGCCACTTTAGACCTCTGCCTAGGAGTAGGACAATTCACCATTACCATTAGTTGTTCAAATAATTAGGGATCGTATCTACCTTATCGGACCTTATTTGGACGGATATTACATGAACGGACATAATTATGAACGGACATTAATATGAACGCTCGAAGGCATTCAAAACCATCAAAAATCCGAATTTTTTTCAATTTTTTTGACGTTTTTTTAATTTCAGCAAATGATTTTTAAATCCATTTTTTATACAGTAAGTAAGAAAAGCAGTCATTAAGCAGTAAAAATGTTAAAATATGTGTACATGATCAGTTTCTAATATCACATATCATCTTCGTCAAATGGGTTTTCGCGCATGAAATAGTCCATGCTTAAAGCATCAGTGATTTCTAGCTTTATGGAAACCTTTTTTATCAAACTACCCTGGTCCTGCATTTCAGTGTTAACTTTTACAAGCCATTCGGCGTGAAGTGGTTTTATCTTAGGTTAACCTTAACATCACGTGGAGCTTTCCTAGCACTGTTTCATTACCGCCCCCGAGTAATATGAACTATAACAACTTCGGACAATGTCCTTGGCAACACGATTTACCGTTATATCTAGAGGCTGGAACAAGTTTGTCATGTTGGCGGGGGACTAGCTTATGAACTATGTTGTTGAGTGCCATAATTTCGTTGACTTTTTTCCGCCAAGTGACCCTTGAAAACATCATATACTAGTAGAGTTTTCTGTGCCTCTGGCAGACCAAGGAGAACCTTTCCGTCGTTAACTTACGGCACAATAAAGTTCTCAAAGTTGTCATATTCTGGACAAAAAGTTCGAAATGGAAAAATTTTGGAAAAATTTCAACGGACTTTAACTTGGACGGACATTAATTGAACGGACTTTATTTGAACGGACATTAAGATGAACGCTAGGGCCTCCAGCGTTCAAGTAATGTCCGTCCAAATAAGGTCCGATAAGGTAATTTGTTGCTGTATGGGGTCAGGAACAACCAACAAAAATGTATGACTCTACGGTGTCTGGACATATTGACCTGGGCCACGCCCATATGTTTCAGCAATCATTAACACGTAAAATGATCGTCAATATAGTCCTGAAGGAGTATGGAAGGAGTTCTAAATGTGTGCTCCTTTAATATAAACAGTGGAAAATCAATTTTAGTCGAGATCTCAGGTTTCTACAATGTCAGCAAGTTCCTTCAGGAGTTTGCGACTTGTGAAGAAGCACCAAACTCACTCAGCTCAACATGTTTGAGATTCAAGCAAATCGAGGATGTTCAAAGGGTGCAAGTTGTTCAACTCGACAAAATACCGATAGAAGTTATTTCGTAGGCCCTAAAATTACTCCTCTAGATCCAGTCTTACCCTTCTAATTTCAATTGAACATAACTCAATAGCTGAAGTAACTCTGATACGTCCAATAAGAACCTGTAAGAATGGCGTCCAGCTCACCATTTTTGAGATTCAAGCAAATTGAGGATGTTCAAAGGGTGCAGGATATTCAGCTCGACAAAATACCGATAGAATTTATTTCGATGGTGATTAAATTACTCCTCCAGATCCAGTCTTACCCTCAATTGGACATAACTCAATAGCTGAAGTAACTCTGATACGTCCGATTAGAACTTGTAAAACTGGCTTCCAGCTCGCCATTTTTGAAATTCAAGCAAATTGAGGATGTTCAAAGGGTGAAGAATGTTTAGCTCGACAAAATACCAGTATAAATTATTTCGTAGGCCCTAAATTACAGCTCCAGATCCAGTCTTACTCTTCAAGTTCAATTGGAAATAACTTAATAGCTGAAGTAGCTCTGATACGTCCGATTAGAACCTGTAAGACTGGCTTCCAGATCGCCATTTTTGAGATTCAAGCAAATTGAGGATGTTTAAAGGGTTCAGAATGTTTAGCTCGACAAAATACCAGTAGAAATTATTTCGTAGGTCCTTAATTACTCCTCCAGATCAAGTCTTACTCTTCAAGTTCAATTGGACATATCTCAATAGCTGATGTAAGTATAATCAACTAAGTAGAAATAACAACAAAATTTACGTAGAATTTATCGTCTTGCTTTATTTATAATTTGTTCAACTTTGTGGTAGGTTGAGATGGACGGAATTTCTAACCTGTTCGTTGTTCGCTGTCAATGTCATATACGTTTTCTTTTCCTGATTTTCCTGGAAAAGAATGATATCACTTAGCGTAACATCATACGTACGGACTTTTTCTGGTCCGGCATTTTATTAAACGTTGGAACTTTGCACAATTATAAAACTGTCAAATAGACTACAACCGTGAATACTGAATAATGGGAACGATAAGATAGAATCTGTTTATTTAATTTCAAACATCATACCTTGGAGTTGACTGTAGTAACCCTGAACTAGGAAGATCAGTAGAGGCAGTGCGATCAAAAGATTAACTTTCATTCTCGCTTCACCTGATTTCGAGAGTCGTTGTCTTTGGATGATTTAGCTAATTAAAAATGTATATTGTGTTAACGCAAATATTTTATCAAGATGATATGCAAACAAACAAAACATAGATATGCAAAAGAGAAAACTCGATCAAAACTAGAAATGCTGAAGTATTGAGGTCAGGCAAACAAATAAAAGCCCAAATCAGTTTGAATTTCATTAACTCAACGGTTTGGTCTTGTATACGATTAAAATGAAAAACGTCAAATAATTTATGAGGGGCTAGTGTGGTTGGTTTTATCCGATTTTTTTAGATTTTTATGGAGGTTGTACCATTGTAAAACTTACATTGTGACAGTATAGATGGCGAAATATGTTTGAAAATGGTCCTAACACAGCTTTGATACTAACAATAACATTGGGTGAATAGATTGGGTGAACAAACTATGAAGCAGGCAATTATATGTGCTCATCCATCATTCTGCATATGTAAGCTCAGTAGTTTAATTGCTGATTCATACTCAATGGTGAATCGATAGAATTCATGTGTCGGAGATCTCGTGAGAACACCTTTTAATAATTATAGCCCTCAGGATCGCATTATCCTGATCCGGCCGTAATGTGTATTGAGGTATGCACTAATTGTAGTGGTGAACGGTTGCAGCTCAGGCTATGTTTCAGTATAACTATATATCAGAGATCGCAGTATATTTACATTCTACTCGGATTGCAGATTGAAATATTTTCCTGTTGGAACCATGACACATGCAGGGGAATACCAAAATATTATTTGTAGTTGTACAACTAATATGATCAATAATTAATAACGGCAACGCTAATTTGTCCTTATTGGACTTTATTTTTACGGAAATAAGTTAATAGTTGCTGCAAATGCCAAATGCGTTCATTTTAATGTCCGTTCATTTTAATTTTAATATCCGTTCGAATATTGGCGGACGTTTTAAATTGTAATTAAATAGACCATTGAGCGGTCGCGTTTATTTTAATGTCCGCTCAAAATTATTCCCGTTCACATTATTTCCGGTTGCAGTACGGGTAAAATAACGTCCGAATAAAGCTATCCGATAAGCTCAGGCAGAGCTTTCGGACTGCGTAAAACTAAACAACTTGAAACGTTGAAGAACGCCGTTAAGACATCTGTTGTTAACTCACCTAAAACACAAACATACAGTCCAATGGCGAAGAATTCACAGCCAACTGAGCAAGTCATAAGCTCGGAAACGCTCAAAAGCGTAGTAAAACGTGTTGTCGAGGAAGAGGACCGCAGTCTAGTCGCAACGTCATTGTATTTGGTCTGTTACAAGGGAGCGAGATATATAGAGAACTTATTGACACAGTTAGCGTGATTTTCCAAAACATTGGACAGAAACCGAAGATTGTTGAAGCGTGCAAAATTGCCAGAAAATCTAAGGACAATTTAGTTACAGCATCATTAATAAATGAGCGATTACGTTATTCGTTTAAGTTATTGCAAAATATTTGATTCCAATAAATAAAATCCGCCTTGTGCCGCGTGCGCTAATTTACTAATTCTGTACTCGCCTGCGTACACTGTACTGTACAGTGTACAGCAGGAGCAGGCCTGCAGGCATCATGCTACATGCGATTTTACAAATAATGTTCGACTTCAATTTAGACTTTCAGTTGTTGTAGTTGTACTGTATACTAATTGTGTCGGTTTATATATTTACCAGGCGGCGCTCAAATTGCATGATCAATAACGCTAATTTGTCCTTATTGGACTTTATTTTTACGGACATAAGTTAATAGTTGCAAATGCCAGATGCTACAAGTTAAGCACTAGCGTTCATTTTAATGTCCGTTTATTTTAATATCCGTTCGAATTTTGGCGGACGTTTTAAATTGTTAGTAAATAGAGCATTGAGCGGTCACGTTTATTTTAATGTCCTCTCAAAATTATGGCTACGCCCGTTCACATTATTTCCGGTTGCGGTACGGGTAAAATAACGTCCGAATAAAGCTATCCGATAAACTCAGGCAGAGCTTTCGGACTGTAAAACTGGACAACTTGAAATGTTGAAGAACGCCGTTAAGACATATACTGTTAATTGTTGACTCACCTAAAACACAAACATACAGTTCAATGGCGAAGAATTCACAGCCAAAGCTGAGCAAGTCATAAGCTCGGAAACGCTCAAAAGCGTAGTAAAACGTGTTGTTGAGGAAGAGGACCGCAGTCGCAACGTCGTTGTATTTGGTCCGTCACAAGGGAGCGAGATATATAGAAAACTTATTGACACAGTTAGCGAGATTTTTCAAAACATTGGACAGAAACCGAAGATCGTTGAAGCGTGCAGAATTGCTAGGAAATCTGTACTCGCCTGCGTACACTGTACTGCAGCAGGAACAGGCCTGTCTGTCTATCTGTCTATCTGTCTGTCTATCTGTCTATCTGTCTATCTGTCTATCTGTCTATCTGTCTGTCTGTCTGTCTGTCTGTCTGTCTATCTGTCTATCTGTCTATCTGTCTGTCTGTCTGTCTGTCTGTCTGTCTGTCTGTCTGTCTGTCTGTCTGTCTGTCTGTCTGTCTGTCTGTCTGTCTGTCTGTCTGTCTGTCTGTCTGTCTGTCTGTCTGTCTGTCTGTCTGTCTGTCTGTCTGTCTGTCTGTCTGTCTGTCTGTCTGTCTGTCTGTCTGTCTGTCTGTCTGTCTGTCTGTCTGTCTGTCTGTCTGTCTGTCTGTCTGTCTGTCTGTCTGTCTGTCTGTCTGTCTGTCTGTCTGTCTGTCTGTCTGTCTGTCTGTCTGTCTGTCTGTCTGTCTGTCTGTCTGTCTGTCTGTCTGTCTGTCTGTCTGTCTGTCTGTCTGTCTGTCTGTCTGTCTGTCTGTCTGTCTGTCTGTCTGTCTGTCTGTCTGTCTGTCTGTCTGTCTGTCTGTCTGTCTGTCTGTCTGTCTGTCTGTCTGTCTGTCTGTCTGTCTGTCTGTCTGTCTGTCTGTCTGTCTGTCTGTCTGTCTGTCTGTCTGTCTGTCTGTCTGTCTGTCTGTCTGTCTGTCTGTCTGTCTGTCTGTCTGTCTGTCTGTCTGTCTGTCTGTCTGTCTGTCTGTCTGTCTGTCTGTCTGTCTGTCTGTCTGTCTGTCTGTCTGTCTGTCTGTCTGTCTGTCTGTCTGTCTGTCTGTCTGTCTGTCTGTCTGTCTGTCTGTCTGTCTGTCTGTCTGTCTGTCTGTCTGTCTGTCTGTCTGTCTGTCTGTCTGTCTGTCTGTCTGTAATTTCCAAGCGGCTTAATCAAGAAAACGGTAAGAGTTACGGTGGTCTATATATTTACTAGGCGGCGTTCAACTTGTCATTCTGTTTATAAACACAAAAGCTGAGGTCCCCAGGTAATGAAACATATTAACATAATATTAATATTATGAATTGGGTCATGCCATGTGAATTTTATATGCTAATCTGCATTCATCACGGTTTTTATACTAATAAATTATTCTTATGTAATGAGTAAGCACGAGAATTTACCTACTATTAATAATAATTAGAACTCATGGATTTATTTTTTCTGAAATTACCATTTAGTGTCAAATTGGTGCTAGTGCTACCCACCCATGACGGGGTGGTATAATCATGTAACTTGCGGTTGATCGAACAATTAGCTTCGAAACAATTTGGACTTTAATAGCCCTCAAGCTTATTAAACGACATAACTCATGATGTTAATTTACTCAATAGACACTTTTAACACATTGTTCAAGGTAACTTCAAATTACTGTTACCGAAGTTCAAATGCCCTGCAAAAAAAATCGTTTGATGTGCCCAATATCTATGCTTCTCAATTCCCACAATTAGCCTCAATATTCAATAATCATATAACTATAAATAAAACAACGCCATCTGCATCAATAACACCAGTTTTATAAACTTTTGAGCCCACCATGAAACTTGAAGATTTTGTTAAACCAGATCGTTTAAATCCCTCTTGCCGTCCAACTCTGCTACGTCATGTTTTATCACATTTACTCTTTCTCGTCGAAGAAGCCAACACTGGTAGAAAGAAAAAACTTTCGATTGTTGATTTCTACCGTCCTGTTGCTGTTGACCTGCTTTCTTTGTACGATGTCACAGAAAAGTCCGAAGTTCGTAGAATTTCACCTACTATTGCTGGGTAAGTTGCATATTTTTATGCTTCATATTTGTTGTCAATATACATACATACTATCCGATCATAAACTTCATATCTGAGTGATTTTTCCGATTTGTTGATACCTATTCAGTTTCTGTTTATCCAGTTTGCATTTAGCGATCATGTCCGATGCGGGCGATGTGGATAATTGCCAATCGTGACTGATATTCATAATTTGTTCTATATATAATATATACTACTTAATATTTTGTGTTTATACTTTATATTTCTTGTCACATTGGTTACGCTGTTTGTAATTTGAAACTATTACAGGAAAATCAAAATCATCAATACAAAACTTCGAGGTCTCTCAGTTAAGACGGCAAAGTCTACGATGGACAAGTTCACCGACAGTCTAAATGAACCTTTTGCTGTCCTACCCACCAAGAAGAAACTTGAAGTTGAAGCCCCTTTGCAGATTGATCATATCACTCCTGCTCTCAGTGACGTTACTACATCAGCATCATTGCAAGTAAGCACGTTTCAATACCAATACAGAATTATTTGTTTAACATAGCTTATTTATTTTAAAAGTTTATAAACTAAAATAATATTAATACCATTGACTGTCAAATTATTAATTTTAATCTCTGAGCCGACACTGTAATTGATTGTTTGCAATGAACAATTTGAGATCACATAACACAACTTTTATTTTCACTAAATAGTAGATAAATGCCCGGCCATTAATTGAATCACCGATCACGGATAATAATACAAAATATACTTATGATGTTAACGACAGGCTTATATAAGCGAGGACTCGGCAAGCCAACACACTAACATTGACCCGAGAGATGAAAAGGATCGTGATTATCAACCAGCCTCTTCCAGTTCTTCTGCTAGCACTCCGAGAGTCACGGTGTCCACTTATCTGAACTGCAATCTGGATGGTATGGCAG